TTAGCTTAAATACTACGATGCTGTCAGTTGTATTTTCAAGGTAGAATGCAGTATGGGTGGTTTTTTAATTTTGGCAAATACTATAATATTGTATTGACAAGTACAAGCCCAGAATCCACAAAAAAAGTTCTTGAAGGTAGATTTTAATGAGCTGAATCCAAAAAAACTCAAAATGTTGATGGTCCGGGAAAACAATCCAAGCTCGATATGATGACTGGTTTTCGGAATATTCAGATTCAAAGTTCAATTTTTAAAATATTAAAATCTGTCACATTTCATTTGGCGATTGTGGAAAAATAGGAGGAATTTTTGCAGAAATAAAGCAGTAAAAATTTCTGGATGTCGAAATCAACAGAAGAAATTCTTTTGCTATTCTTCGACTATTCGGGAGAAGATAATACTTTTTTTTAAGTTGCTTAAAAAGCACATTTGGCAAAATCAGTCTTATCTTATAAATTTTTGAGGTTTTCAATTTTCGAACTTTCTCGATTTGAGTTTTTCGAATTTTTAACACATAATTTTTCAATTTTTGTTTTCTGATTTTTAATTTTTCTTTTTTCAACGTGAAAATTTTCAATTTCTTGATTTTTCAATTTTTTGAATTGCAATTTCTCGGTTTTTGTCTTGTTTTTGAGTCAATTTGAAAAAATCTCGGGAACCATTTGTGTCTTGTTTTTGAAGTAATTTGAAAGCTTTTCGAAGATGCCTCTATTTGCTTAAAGGGTATATCAGTTGCCAAAATCCGTCTTATCTTAGAAAATACTAGCCCCGCCCACCCACCCTCTATTTTCTTGGAAGGTATGTCATTCGCAAAATCAGTTTTATCTTAGCAAGTACTAGCCTCGCCCACCCACCTCTTCTCATTCTAACGACTAATTTTATTTCCGTTCAGGATAAGAACATTCATTTCATTCAGATCGGATAAAATCAATCACTGAAAAGGAGATAGGGTAGGTGGGCGGGGCTAATTATGTTCTTCTGTCGAGTGGGAGTTGTATTAGCGTTTGTAGAATTTGAGTTTGCTATCTCTCTTTAAAACGTCTAAACCCTTCCAAAATCTCCAATTGAGTATAAATTAGTTATAACCTATCTTTGTTTTCCCCCATATTAAACTTCAGATTAAATACTACGGTGCTGTCAGTTGTATTTTCAAGGTAGAATGCAGTATGGGTGGTTTTTTAATTTTGGCAAATACTATAATATAGTATTGACAAGTACTAGCCCAGAATCCACAAAAAAGTTCTTGAAGGTAGATTTTAATGAGCTGAATCCAAAAAAACTCAAAATGTTGATGGTCCAGGAACAAAATTTCAGGCGAACATCGAAGATTCCGGAGCATTCGTAGCATTTTTATTAAGGACTAATTTAGCGCAATTCCGGAAAACCTGGTTGACGAAAAATTGTGAAAAAAAATTGTGTTTGCGCAGAAATGATACGTCTATCAGAGACAACAATCCAAACTCGATAGGATGACTAGTTTTCGAAATATTCAGATTCAAGGTTAAATTTTTAAAATATTAAAATTTGTCACATTTCATTTGGCGATTATGGAAAAATAAGAGGAATCTGGATGTCGAAATCAACAGAAGAAATTCTTTTGGTATTGTTCCACTGTTCCGGACAAGATAATATATTTTTTTATCTTATTAATTTTTCAGTTTTCCAAATTTCAAACTTTTTCGATTTGAGTTTTACGAATTTTCAATACTTAATTTTTCAATTTTTTAGTTTCTCATTTCTTCAGATTTTTGACTAGAAATGTTTCGTTTCAGTTTTTTGTTTGCTTCATTTTAAAAATTTTTCGATTTTTGTGTTCTCTCTTTTCTTCGTGGATATGTCATTTGCCAAAATCAGTCTTATCTTAGCAAGTACTAGCCCCGCCCACCCGCCCCATATTTTCTTGTAGGATATGTCATTTGCCAAAATCTACCGTATCTTAGCAAATACTAGCCCCGCCCACCCCCTATCTTCTCATTTTATTTCTGTATAATATAATTCATTTCATTCAGATTGGATAAACGCAATCATTGAAAAGGAGGCAGGTTGGGTGGGCGGGGCTAATTATATTCTTTGGTCGAATGGGAGTGGCAACTAGTAGAATTAACGATGTGAAAAAAGTACACCCTTAATCTATTGTGTTCTACTGTTGCAATATCTTCTATTAAAATCTATAAATTTACTTGTATTCGTTCTAAAATGAAATTCTTCTAGAATATTATCCCAATTTTTTGGATATTTTATAATTCCATGAGAACTTTTCGTTGTTATCCTTGTACTTCAAAATTTTTATACCGAGCGATTTTGACGGAACTGCAAAAATCACTATATATATTTAAGTTAGCGATTTTGGAAAAACGGAAAATGTCTTCACCTAATTTTCAAAAATTGTTGAAAAATGATAGAAAATGTCAAAAGTACCAAAATCTGTTTTATTTTATCAAATGCTCAAATTTTTTGAATTGCAATTTCTCGGTTTTATCTTGTGTTTGAATCAATTTGAAAAAATCTCGGGAGCCTTTTGTGTGTTGTTTTTGAACTAACTTGAAAGGTTTTCGAAAATCCCTCTATTTTCTGAAAGGGTATATTATTTGCCAAAATCAGTTTTATCTTAGTAAATACTAGCCCCGCCCACCCACCCTCTATTTTCTTGGAAGATATGGTCATTCGCAAAACCAGTTTTATCTTAGCAAGTACTAGCCCCGCCCACCCGCCTCTTCTCATTCTAACGACTAATTTTATTTTCGTTCAAAATAAGACCATTCATTTCATTCAGATCGGATAAAATCAATCACCGAAAACGAGTCAGGGTGGGTGGGCGGGGCTAATTAAGTTCTTCCGTCTAGTGAGAGAGGAAACTAATAATAGAATCTAGGATGTGTAAAAAGAAAAAAAAATCACCAATCGTAACTTTTTTCTTATCTATTTGCTATAAAATTAAATTCATGTACCTAGCGTATATCAGTTGCCAAAATCAGTCTTATCTTAGCAAGTACATATTATGTATTTAAAGCATTTCGTATATCAACAATTTGATAACGTCCTCTCAAAATTCAAATCGTCTACATCAAACATTATTTAAACTTCATAAAATGTCCTACATTTGTGATTTATGAATCCGTTTTGAGCTTTTCTCCTAGGCAAAAAATTCGAACTTTCATAAACTGAACACTGAACACGAGGATTCGGTGGAGTAGCAGTTAATTGTTTTGTATCACCCTGTATAAGTAATATTGAAAATTTTGAATCCATCGATAAGCTACAAATAAAAAGTCACAATATTTTGCGTATTTTAGACAGGATTTAATCAGCAAAATTTGAGATAACGTCATTGATTTTTTTGGCAGAGGGTAAACGGATAAATTTTGAATACGGATTCACCGTGTTAATGAGAACCGTAACACATTTGTAAGATTTCAGAGCATTCGGTTTTACAACTTCAAAGTTAAATTTAAATAATATTTTCTATGTGAAAAACTGGTTACACAGAGTAAACAATAAGGCGGTTTCATGAACTACAAGTATAGGAGTATGTTATTTTATAAAATAGCATTTATCAAACAAAATTTTGAGGTGATGTCATTAAATTGTTGCTATGGATAATCAGATAAATTTTGGTTACCGTTTTACCAACTACGGCTACACAATATTCCTAAAATACTTGTCAAATTTGACGATAATCGATCTAGTAGTTTCGGAGTTTATCTAATAAAATTCGACACAAACAACAGACAGACAGAATCGAGGGATCTATTTTTTCATAATCTAGGGATCAAGAAATGTCAAAAAAATGTGAAAATAGCCACTGGATAAGTAAAAATTCAAGCTTGTTCCAAACTAGTTATGTCAAATTTGATTCCTGAGTTCTTATGAAATTTATTTTCGAGACTTTAGAAGCACGTGCGTAAGTCACAAAGTACAGAGGCCGTATGATAATATCAAAGACCGAAATGAATGGAGAAAGTTGTGAAAATGCCGAATAGCAGCCACAGGATAAGAAAAGTCCAAGTAGAACTGTATCAGAGAACTGAAAAACTAACCTAATTTTTCGACACTGAACGCACGAACCTGAAGCGTATCTGCATTACAAAAAACACGAGTTTTACATGCTATAACAAGATAAAAACATACTCTCAAGCATCGTTTTTCGGCGACTCAAAAATTCAAGTAATCTGGTAGCTCTCTCAGCTTTCTACATTGTCGAGATTTTTTGTCCGCATTGTACCTGCGATATTTATTGATTTTCGTTTTCTTCAGGTGATTAACGAATGCGTTGTCCGTATGATAAGCATTGTTGTGCCGCCATTACAATAAATCCGAATCGTCCGCCCGAGGACAATGCATGTGCAGAAATCCAAAATTAATAACGACATCGCATTCAATGGCGGCCATTAATTTAGTCAAACAAACCTCGCCATCTCCGTGCTCTACCTGAACAAAAATAACAACGATTGCAATCATTAAAGTAAATAACTTAATCGAAACGTTGGCTTGCTTTATTACCAGCGCATAAATAACGCGAATGCTTAAATATTAAAACCAATTAGTTCTGAAAGTCCCACCGAGAGAAAACGGACGTTCGGTAGCCGGCTCGCACGGTAACGCTTGCCATAAATTAATACAGCATTAAAAACCACCCGGTGATAAATCGGACTATTAAACGAAATCTTGGCAATTACATCGATATTAATGCGTTTTGTCGGCAAAGCGGAATCGTCAACCTCCGACGGATATTTACGTCTGCGGGGCGGAATCAATATTCGAGACGGCGTTCAGCGGGGTTCTGTTTACGGCGGAGCTCCGAGTAATTGCCGTATTAATTAACGCTAAACACGGCCTGCGTGCTAATTCACAATATCATAATTTTCATAAGTCCGATTCATAAAACATCCGCGCGGATATGTTGATACACCGAAGTCGGCCGATAGATCCTAGTAATGGGCCGTTTAGCGAGACGTTCGCCTGAATATTCAAGTGGAACGTGGAATTCCTGAGGTACTCACAAAGAGCCGTGACGGGGAACATGCACCATGTCTGCCGGATTCGCCGGATTACGCGACCTCCGCCCGCCTAAATTCGGCCAGTGGGGGCGATGCAACCTGTTGGATGTGAGGTTCGGTGCTCGGTCGCGCGTCGCCTCGTCGTAGGTGGGCAGCGACGCCTGAAAAAACACAAATCTTTTACCATCTCACTGCATACACTACACGCTTGATGAATTTTAGTCAATTTTTTATAATACCTACTCTCAGAACGTTATTTTTGTATCCACTAAACTTATTGTATTGTCCTATGAAGGTAGACCCTAAATGGCGCTGTGCCAGTAGCAAGTATGTACATACTACGGACGTAATCACAGGTACTTTTTCTCTCTAGTAAGTTCTTTTACAGACTTGAAAAAGTCTATAGTCAATAAACGAAACGTCGACAAAATATTGGTTTTATTTTTGACATAGTCCTATTCCCCATAACAAAGACAAGTTACGCCTTAATGGACGAAAAAGAGGTCACTGAAAAATATTTCAATGTTCCGTTTATTTGCTTTGTTATAACCAACCAGTTTCGATGTTCCCCAACTTCAGGGATTCTGATAAAAACTAGCAATAAAATCAAATTACCCGATTAAATAAAAATAATCAAGATTTTTTTCCTTTCTCTTTCCTTTCGAATCTGCTGTTCTCGTAATGGCGTCCTCCTTGAATTTTTCATCGCTTTCATGTTTAGCAACTTTGTAAATAATTTTTTCCCATTGCTTTTCTGTGAACTCAATTCTGTCAGTCACAATCGCGATATGTTACGGAAGGCTATTGTGCTGTCCAAACCCTCACTAAAATCTAATGGATACAAAAATAACGTCCTAAGCATACTACAGTTATACAAGGTGCTGAAAAAAATGACGTATATGCTCGATGGTACTCGAAAAAATGGTTGAAAAAGGACCCGAAACAAATTTTTGAAAATATTAAACTTCAAAATTGAAGAATTATCTTAAAATAAATAAAAATAGTCAAAAGTGACATTTGTGAACAGTAAAAATTGACGTTGTGCATCGAATTTTAGCAAATTATTATTATTAATTATTATGAACAACTAATTTTTTAACTGTCTACTAGACAATACAGTTCATTAAAACATATGAAAATTACGAACTTAATCTCTCAACTTTGACTTTTAATATTTTCAAAAGTTTGGTGCAGGGTTTTTTTAACCATTTTTTTTTCGAGTTTTTCAAAGCCTTCTTAACAACGTACCATTGAACACATACGTCTTTTTTTTTTCATCATCCCTATATCATATGTCAATAATCTGAAAATCTATAGAAGTAATATATTCATATTAAACTACTTGCTTAGAATGTGAAGAGATCACAGCTTTAGCAATTCCTTACACTCAATGAATTATTTCTTTGTATTTATTTTTTACAATCCCTAAAATTTACAAAGGTAAAGAAGCATGCTATGCCTAACTTTCAAATGAATTTTTCCATTAAAAAATTTTGTGACGACGTCATCAACAAGGACAAGTACCTATATGAATTTAAATTGGATAAGTGCAGTGAGATATTAACAGTACTTAGGTTAAAAAATCAAGACGGATTCATAAATCACAAGTGTAGAAGTGTGTCATTTTATAAAATATAAATAACATTTAGAATGCATTGAATTAATAAAAATCGACATACACAGTTACATAACTTTGACAGTTTAAATTTTTTTCGTCAAAAGCAGACCGCCCTGCGTTGGGCTGTCTGAAATTTTGTTTGTTTTTTAAGGTGACTTCTCAATATTTGGAAATGTCAGAGAATGAAAATGTTTAAAAATATTCTGCAGCAATTTTTATTTCGTAGGTTTGGTATTATCGCAAGCAAAAGTATTGTCCGTACCCAGCAGCGAGGGGTATTGTATTAAGCTCCTCCGCCTTCTCTCTGCGGGTTGCCATAATTCCCTAAACACTCAGGTGGAATAAATTGGACAAGGACTAAAGTTTCCCTCGCGTGATTACAGATATTGATTGATTCCACAGTACTTTCTTCAGGTAGAAACTATGTTGTAGTATCACACAATAAAATATGTTCAACTCAGAAAGTACTTTTCTTAAGATGAAACTGAAGTTTAAACAAGTACAAACATACATACATCCGTACAAACCATTATTTTTTAACAAAAATTAATATTTACATTTATCATGGGTAGATTTTTAATGGGAAGTGGTGTTTTTTTATCAACCTGACTTGGTAAGAAATCGAATAAACTGACAAATATTGACAATTCGAAAATAAAACAAAACAAACCTCGGAATGAAATATATAAAAAATGATCTTCTATTTATCTTCTATCTATTTCAATTCTGGGACTTTTAAATACTTTGACTTTTAAATTTTTGGATTTTTCGTCTTTTCGTATACTTGATTTTAAAATTATTCGATTTTTTAAAATACTGCGATTTTGTAAGTCTTACATTTTTCGATTTTTCCATTTTTTTGGTTTTTCGATTTGTTGACGTTTTGATTGTTCGATTTTTTAAATTTTCAATTTTTCGAATTTTTAAATTTTAGAATGTTCACTTTTTTGTTGTTTCGATTTCTCAATCTTTCGATTTTCTGCTTTTTCGTTTTTAGATTTTTTGATTCTTCAATTTTTGGGAATTAATTTTTCAATTTTTCGATATTTCGATTTTTCAATTTTCGATTTAACGGTTTTCTTTCGATTTTTCGCCTCCTCGTTTTTAGATGCTCCGGTTTTTCAATTTTTCTGAATTAATTTTTCAGTTTTTCGATGTTTCGATTGTTCACTTTCTGGTTTATCAGTTTTTTTTGGTCAAAATTTTTCAATTTTGAATTTTCCCATTTACCGATTTTTCGACTTCTCGATCTTTTGATGTTTCGATTTCGCGATTTTTCAATTTTTTGATGTCGCTTTCTCGATTTGTCAGTTTTTCCACAATTCATCTTTTCGATTTTTCGATTTTCCAATTTTTCAACGTTTCAGTTTTGTATTGATTTATGTAGTTAAATTTTGCAATTTCTCAATTTCTGGATTAATGGATTTTTTAATTTTTTGACTTTTCGATTTTTCATCTTTCCGATTTCTCGATTTCTGAATTTTTGGATTTTCAAATTTTCAATGTGTAAGTTTTGGGATATTTCAATTTTGGGATTTTTCAATTTTGAGATTTTTCAACACACATTATGTATTTCGATTTTGAAATTTTTCCACTTTCTGTTTTTGTTCATTTTTTACGTATTCAATTTTTCAACATTTTGCGATTTTTTAAATCTAACATTTTTTGATTTTTCTATTTTTTTATTTTTCGATTCGTTGATGTTTTGATTTCTAGATTTTTTAAATTTTCAATTTTTCGAATTTATAAATTTTAAATTTTTCACTTTTTTGTTTCGATTTCTCAATCTTTCGATTTTTCAATTTTTCGGAATTAATTTTTCAGTTTTTCGATATGTCGATTTTTCAATTTTCGATTTAACGGTTTTCTTTCGATTTTTCGCCTTTTCGTTTTTAAATTCTCCGGTTTTTCAATTTTTCTGAATTAATTTTTCAGTTTTTCGATGTTTCGGTTGTTCACTTTCTGATTTATCAGTTTTTTTAAGTTAATATTTTTCAGTTTTGAATTTTCCCATTTTTCGATTTTTCGACTTCTCGATCTTTTGATGTATCCATTTCGCGATTTTTTAATTTTTTGATCTCGCTTTCTCGATTTCCCAGTTTTTCCTCAATTCATCTTTTCGATTTTCCACTTTTTCAACGTTTCAGTTTTGTATTGATTCATGTAGTTACATTTTTCAATTTCTCAACTTCTCTATTAATGGATTTTTTAAGTTTTCGACTTTTCGAATTTCGTTTTTCCGATTTCTCGATTTCTCAATTTTCGGATTTTCAAATTTTCAATGTTTAAGTTTTGGAATTTTTCAATACACATTATGTATTTCGATTTTTAAATTTTTAGATTTTTCCACTTTCTGTTTTTGTTAATTTACGTATTCGATTTTTCAACATTTTTCGATTTTTTTATTTTTTGATTCGTTGATGTTTTGATTTCTAGATTTTTTAAATTTTCAATTTTTCGAATTTATAAATTTTAAATTTTTCACTTTCTTGTTGTTCCGATTTCTCAATCTTTCGATTTTTCAATTTTTCGGAATTAATTTTTCAGTTTTTCGATATTTCGATTTTTCGCCTTTTCGTTTTTAAATTCCTCGGTTTTTCAATTTTTCTGAATTAATTTTTCATTTTTCGATGTTTCGATTGTTCACTTTCTGGTTTATCAGTTTTTTTAAGTTAAAATTTTTCAATTTTGAATTTTCCCATTTTTCGATTTTTCGACTGCTCGATCTTTTGATGTTTCGATTTCGCGATTTTTCAATTTTTTGATTTCGCTTTCTCGATTTCTTTGTTTTTCCACAATTCATCTTTTCGATTTTCGATTTTCCAATCTTTCAACGTTTCAGTTTTGTATTGATTTATGTATTTAAATTTTTCGTTTTCTCAATTTCTCGATTAATGGGTTTTTTAATTTTTCGACTTTTCGAATTTCGTCTCTCCGATTTCTCGATTTCACAATTTTGGGATTTTAAAATTTTCAATGTTTAAGTTTTGGGATTTTTCAATACACATTATGTATTTCGATTTTTAAATTTTTAGATTTTTCCACTTTCTGTTTTTGTTAATTTTTTACGTATTCGATTTTTCAACATTTTGCGATTTTTTAAATCTTACATTTTTCGATTTTTCAACTTTTTTTATTTTTCGATTTGTCGAATTTATAAATTTTTAATTTTTCACTTTTTTGTTGTTTCGATTTCTCAATCTTTCGATTTTTTTCCCTTCTCATTTTTAAATTTTTCGGGATTAATTTTTCAGTTTTTATATATGTATTCCGATTTTCCAATTTTTCCATTTATTTTTATTTCCGCAGGTTTCGATCTTTAGCTATTTCGATATCTCAACTTTACGATTTTTCGACATCTCGACTTACCGATCTTTTGATGTTTCGATTTCGCATTTTTCAATTTTTCGAATTCGATTTCTCGAATTTCCAATTTTTTGACGTTTCAGTTTTAGGATTTATGTACCTATTTAAATATTTAGATTTTTCAATTTTCTTGACTAATCGATTTTTTAATTTCCCGATTTTTCGATTTCTCAATTT